TTTGAAATGATAAATACAGACTGGATCTGTATGCTCATCTTTTATTGGTCCAGGTCACTACTTGGGAATGGATATACATGATTTGTTGACTCTACAAAGTCCTCTATAAACTACTTGGGATAAGAAGTGAAGATGAGACTCTCATCACGGAAACAGGCTATGAGGTGATCTATTTACATGAATTGTTTATTTTGAAAAATATCAGATCTATGACAGCTAGAGAAGATGTGACTACAGTTATTTTGAGCGTTAGAACAATGTACTGGGATTGCTTTATCTTTCACAATAAATGGAAGTCAAATCTTCTGATTAGCTGTTAATTTAATATGATATATATATATTAAATTAAGCACTTGATATATTTTTCTGTACTGTCCGTATTTTAGTTTGCAACATATTCATAACGCAAGTGTTCTATATAATGATCTTGATCTGCGTTCTAAATTCCTCTTTTATGGATAACGGTTGAGTAGCTTAACGGCATGAAAGCTCTTCTGTAAATGAGAGATCACGGATTTAATCTTACTTGTAGTTTATAGTCTCAGGCTGTTAGTGCCTGTCTTTTTAATTTTTTTAAAACACAATCTCTTTTATGACCGATAGAATGATAGTAAAGCATGTTAATCCCAAAATACTTTATGCATCCTACAAAACACTAATGGTATCAATAATATCGTATATTCTTTTTGGTTTGCGTGCTATCTCTTATATGAACAATGACTGATACTGGAAGTGTCCCACATGTCCTCTCACCATCAATTCCTGAGGAAATCAAGCACAATGGATCCCTGCTAAATAACTGCCATGGAATGGGAACGGAAAACCACAGTAAGGTGGGAGCTACACTACAGAGTTAAACATGTCATGTACAGAGAGCCAGGACATAAATCCTTGAAGAAGGAGAAACGAAGCGACACTTGAAGCCCAGGAATAATCATCCCTTTTTTTAGGGGGAAAAAAAATTAAACAGACAGGCACTAACTTGGACGGTGTTTTTTTGACTCGACAAGTTTACTCTTTTTTTTCGGGCACCTATGAACTTGGAGGCCTACCTGGTTTTTTGGGTGGTTATGCTTTTGAGATTATCACATGGATTATGGCCCCATACTTAGCAGGTCTATGAGCTTAAACACCCAAAAAAAAAAAAAAAAGCGGGGTACAATGAATTCCGTTGGTTGTTACTTTCTTTGGTCCTTAATCCTATACATGTTATAATTTTTGAAATAATTTTAGTTCTTTTTATAAGTTGCATTATGTGCCAATATAAACATTAAATTTTTTTTCATTATTACTTCCTTGTCCATGCATTAATTTTAGTTTTATCATATTTTCATCATTCTTTCATAATTCAACCAAAGTTAATATAGATCTGATCAAGCATTGAACAATTGGGAAGGGATGCTTATGACTGCAAAATTAGAGTATTTGTTGACCGGATTGGGTCAAACATAAGGGCTTAATTCCTCACAATGTGACAAACCAACATCCGGATTTTTGTTAGAAGAAATGTTCACATTTAATGCCTCACAATATCTTGAGCAAGATTGCTCCCAACAAGAAGATATTTAAACCTAGCCCCAAAAAGAAACAATAATAAAGAGCATTCCTTTAGTTTTATCATAGCTATCATGGAACAAATGAAGCATTGCTGAATCTTTCAATCCATCAGTCTCCTATTTGCCAAAAACAAGTCATACAATGAAACAAATGCAGTAAATGCAACAGAATGACCAACCACACCGACGGTCAATTAGGACAAGTCTCTTGCGTTTCAATGGTGCAAATACCATAAATTATGCAGATGTTCCAAATGGAATGAAGTTGGGTATTATCAGAAACAATAGACTTGTTCTTTCCATGCGAAATCCAGCATTCACATATTGGCGCATCTAGAACTTTAGGTGTGATAAAGGAAAGCTATTAAGAAACCGTTCATGATTTGATCAGTTCAGCTCGCGGCCTCCATAATCCCAGCCTGTACTTGTGTGCATATTTCAATATTAACTTCCTCTGCAAAGCAGAAACTATAGGTTACAAAGAGTTTGCATGTAGGCCCCACGCATTTTAGTGTCTCACAGTCCAAAAAGAATATCAATTAAAGGTGTCTTAAAACAAGATAGTGGAAACATCACAAAACATATATTCCTATCAATGATAAAATGATCATATCCCTGCAGCCTGTTTAACAACCCAGGGAGCTATTTTTCTTCAGATAGGTCTGAAAAATCTAACAGAAAGAAGCCACCAAGTGAATCTAATCTCCCATAAGAGGTCTGAATAATAGTTCACATCGATTCCCTAATAATCAGTCTAGTACAAATATAATAGTTATACAAAGACATCAAAATAACTGAGCATACCGAATCCGAGGAAATTGACACCACATCCTCATGAGAAATTGCAACGCATAATAAACTAACCCATAGATCATTGACAACACATTAGACAACATATGACAACATAGCAGGGAAGTTGCACTCCGTAATAGAACCATCCCGATTCCCTCCAAATTTTTCTCTCCTTTCTACTGTATATAAGTCGTGGTATTCTATCAGTGACAGAGTCAATCAAGAGGTAAAATACTATTTGGTACGTTAAGGAAGCACCTTTTCCCTACACTACTAAGCGCTAGGCACAAACAATTGCTTGAAAACTCAAGTCAGTTCAACTTACATATAAGAAAGTCATCAGGAACTTTCTTCCAATCAGCAGTAAGTAAATGACGTGTAAGATCAGAATGCAATACAAAATATGCAAGAATAAGATTTACAACTATTTTTAGCAGCAGAGCAAAATAAGACAGTTGACATCTATCATTGACTTCAGTAACGGTAAATCCAGACTCCAGTCGCTCATTCATCTAGAATCCAGTAAAGCGCTGAAAAGATAAAAAAAATACATGAAGCATAGTTCTAGAGCATAATCATGCTGTCAAATGATACCAGCAATATAACGGGGAAATAATTTTGCAGTATAACAAATTTCCTCAAGGGAGATTAAGAAGGTGACAGCAGCATGTTTGCTTGGATTGGATGAGCAACCATTCTAAGACAAATTCCAAATAAAAAGGAGCAGAACATAACAGACCAAGTTCATAAGAAGTTGAACTGTCCAGCTTAAGTGGCACTGGTGGGAAAACATAAATATTAAAATTTGAATAATGACACTGGCCAAAAGGAAAAAAAGAAAAGGATTTAACTGAAACAAAGTGTAGGATAAATCCATAAATTTGTCCAAAAATTACAGACAATAATGAAAGTTCAGCAACAAATGTATCAAAAGAAATTCCCAAGAATTTAAGAAATATCTTAGAGAAACGAGAATTCAGTCAACGATCTGACATGTATGGAAGAATAGTAAGGCGTATATATAGTTGCTTTAGCAAATGATAGAATGTTCTTGTATCTGCATGCAAAGAAAGCAAGATGTGACTGGGATTACGTGTTTGCAAGGAATGCCCAGCTTCTTGAGCTTGAGGGTACGACAGACAAGAAGCTTCTGGAAGTCACCGATTTCTGTTTCAAGCTTAGCAACATGGGATTCAACTCCATTCCCTATTCCATTTACAAACTCAGGGATTCCAACCTTTGCTGCCCCAGCAAGCATCAAAACAAGACTTTATCTGATCCATAGGTCTGCCACTTATTAAACAAGAAAACTTATCCACATGTGAGGACAATTTAAGACCGAAGAAGCATGATCATTTATTTAACTCCAGAATACTTAATCCTGGGAAATGCTTAAAACAGGTTATTTTTCCAAGTTCTACAAACTCAACAATGAGACAACAATGAAACCCTCATCCTCATTTATACAAATGAATGGCAGCGCTAACTGGTGCGAGAGATTTTATTAGGGGGAAAAAAAGAAGATAATCAGATTTTGAACAGAGCAGCTATCACGAAGCTAAAATCTACTTATCCACAAGGCCTCTTTTACAATTACCAAAACTGTCTGATATTTTTGTTTTGGACATATCAAAGAGTGAATGAAAACGAAACATGGAGATAAAATGGTAGGGAAAGGAAGGAGGCATTACTGATGTATGGAGTTGATTTGGAGAAGAATCTAGAGGAATAAAGGGCTAATGTTGACACCAAATTTGTCCCAAAGATTCGCTGCATCCATGCATCTTTTCCACTGGTCTTAAACGTTTGGAAAGCCTTTGAACAACCAATAACTCAAGACAATTCCAACCTCAATCCCATGCGAGATGGAAGTGTGCTGCTGCAGCCTTCACAACCTCATCTCCGACCTCAAGTGAATCCAGTCAATGAATGCAGTTCCTCTGCAGCAGCTTGTCTCTCCAGCCTCTCTACAAACGCAATCTAATCTGTCTGCACAATGTAAATAGTTCATAAAATATATGCTGGTATTGGTATTGGTGGAACTAGCCGGGAAAGCCTATAATAAAGTAAAATTTCATAAATTCTTAAGCAAAGTTTCGCGGCTTCATATCATTTAGCGACACAAAAAACCTATCAGAGTCTGGTCTTATGCTGCAAATAATTTAATATCAGGATCTACTATTGATCAAGTAACATTAACAAGTATAATATGTATGCAACGTAGTGTTACATCACTTCTACCCGAATTTGACAAAGAAATCAGTTGAAATCATAGACACCAAGCAGGACTGAAAAGAACCGAGACGCAAAGGAGAAAAAGAAGATCGTAAGAATTTATAGGAGAAACACAACACCACACATCCCAGCAGAGGGAGAAAATTCCTTTGGCCCAGATTCCAAACGTAGTCAGTTGAACGATTAGTTCAATATGGCATCGAAACATGCATTGATCCTCCTCGATTAGGAGATAAATTCACTGACAGAAGCAATAATTCAGAGAGTCGCAACGCCTCGTACCAAGACAATTTTAAAAAGTCCTTATTCAAAAGTTGAATCAATAAGAGCTAAACATTGCCAACAGAGTTGAAACTACAAAAGATATGCATCGCTGAAAAATGAGGAAAACAAAAATAATCGTACACGAATGTGAACACCAATTTAAAATGAAAGGCAAATAGAACTAAGATTCCTGAAAAACCATCCAAGATTCTAAATGTTTAATAGCTTCGAAAGGCAGAAGCAAAGATAACGAACCTGTGAAGAAAAACTCTGACAGCAGCGCTAAAGCCCTCCGGCAGCGGAGACTGATAAGAGCCGAGTGCAGCGAACGAAGCAGGTGAAACTTTTAGGTGCCGGCGAGTTCCCCCCCCCCCCTCCAATTTAAAATATTTTATGAAAAAACCTCTGCCAAAAGTGAAGAAAAAATTACAATGAATTCTATTTAAAAATTTTGAAAATAGATTTGTAAAATTTTAATTAAAAAATATGTAAGAAAAAATAAAAAATATTAATTAAAATTTTTTAGCTTCACTTCTATGATTTTATAAATTGAAATCATTAAAATTTTTCATCCTCTCTATCACTTACTTTCATTTATAGTGAAACTTGTTTAGAGTTATTTAATATAAGTATTTATAATTTAATATAAGTATTTATAATAACTTGAAACAAAATTCTCTTCGTATACTTATCTCGTATTTTGTAAATTATTATTAAAAAATTACTTTTAAGAGTTCAATAAATCCTTCGTTTTCTCCATCCACTCCTCACAATTGATCACTAACTTTTCAAGATGATGAGTCTAATAGGAATATCTCCTTGTTTAATTAAAAAAATCTATTTGATCTATTATTTTTTCTCCTATTTCCCAATAAACCTCTCTCACGGCACTTCTCTACTCCTTTCTTCTTGTAAGCAATTGATATCCTCGCCCATTCTCTTATAATTCAATGACTTTATAAAACAATTCGTTTACTAGTTGTTTCAAGTTGACTCTCCTTTCTCCTCCTTTTCTTCTCATTATATGTGTTTTTGGGGGTTTGGTAAGGAGGGTTTCCCCCTGGGGGCGGTTGGTAATTTAATAGCCCTAAAAATACATTTTATAAATACAAGAGGAAATAAGTTTAATTAATATAGCTTGCAAAATTAAGACACGCAAGAAATTAATACGAGGCGGCTAACAACTGAGAAGAATGGGTCAATTAGCCATAATTTCGACTGTCCATGTGGCCCAATATCACATAATTAATTAAAATTTTTTTATTTAGAACTAAATTGAATATCGCATTAGTTATTATATTAAAGATCGATTATAGAACCTTATTCAATGAGCGGAACGCTTAGCCATCCACTCTTAGGTTGGACCAAAGAGTTAGGTGAAAATGGGGGAAGCTCTATTGTTCCTGGTTCTCCTGCTTGATTGGGTAAAAATAAGAAAAATTGGTCAAAAATCAGTGATTAGAAACTTAATTATGCAAAAGTACTTAGGAAGTAATAAAGTCTTTGAGTACACTTCAAATTCATACGCAAAAGCAGTTACTCTTTTTTCAGTTCTGTACAACATATATTTTTTCAATACCAACTGTATATCATCAGTTACAAAAAGGCATTGCAAGCAAAAACAAAACAGAACCATCCCTCCTCACATCTATACCTCTTGCCCGCAAGGTGGAAGATAACATAGTTAAATGTAAGTTTAACATATATTTATTTATATGCAAATGTCTAAGATTATCGCACATACAGTTACAAAAAAGTTGAACCTGAGTTGTTAAACAAATACTAAATATATATGTTTACATAGTTTAATTTTCTAATGAGAAACTTTTGATCGATTATTTCAAACATGTATCACAGAGACATATCACAAAAACGGTACGCATCTTAGAAATTTCCACGAATGATCGATGCAGAAGAGACAACATTATATTCTGTCAATAATATAAACATGGATATATAGGTACCATCCTTGTGCCGATTCCACAATAGGGGCAAATGGTGCTAAGATTGTTTTCCAAAGTAAACGGCAATGGTGAACATTATTATTTTATTTCTATTAAAAGAATCAATTGATGATTCACAGACCAAATAATAGAAAAGAAGCAAAATAGGAGTCCCACTTGAGGGGACAGAGTCACACTCAAAACATCAACTTGCAAAATAGGACAAAGAGTCTTAGGGAAATAGGGTAGATAATAAATGGGCAACCAAGAGATAGAGATAATATATATATATATATATATATATATGATTGGCTAGGAAACTAGCAGTCCTATTACTTTTCTCTATAATAATTGTCGCTTTCAGAATAATTGGCCCAAGGCGGTGTACAGTTTTAATTTTGTTTCCATATAATTTTTCATTCAGGATTTTAATAAAAATTTAATATTAATTCCTTTTCTACTTTCATTAATCAAAAGCATGCATGATTGATAGAGCTCAAATATGCTATAATACCTTTTTTTATAAGAGAATTACTTTAATATTTTAGCTCAAAGATATTTTAGACAGATCGCATTTGATTTTTGTAATATGGTCAGACATTTAATAAATTTTCTTAAATGCGTGCATAATTTTAAACAACATTTATTTTGAAACAGATGCAAAATTGTGTGATGAATGTCAGTAAAAATAATTTAAAATATTCCAAAAAAATAATTTAAATGTTAAAAAAAGGTAAAAATACATTTTTCCTGTAAAAATGTAAACACTTGATTGTATAAAATCTATCGACTTGATCAATAGCGACTATGATAATAGTCATTCCTTTAGACATATTACCGATGATACTGGATTACTTTTTTATGGCAATTGACCCGTTGTGTTTTCGCATACTAGTTTTAGAGAAAATCTCACTTTTATTAATTAGCTAATACTCTTATAATAAAGAGCTACTTTTATATCCTTGATCATAAGAGGTAAACTAACTTTTGACTTGCCTTGAATAAATGGATTTCAGTAGTTATTGAAAAGAATTACTTTTTTTTTTTTTGGACAACAACGTGAAAACGTCATTGTGTCCTCTTAGGCGGCTAGGTAGGGCGTAAGATGATGGTGACCTGATGAAGACGCGAGTTGGTGTTCTTGGAGTGACATGTGAGATTCGAGTTATCAGTTAGCAAATTGATAATTAGTCATTTCGTGATATTGCGGAGTCGCTTTCATGCCAATACATGTTGATGATGTGGATTTTAATTAGCTTAACCTATGACTTTTGAAATACTAATGCACATCACTTGGCCTCTAATGTATATTAAAAGTAGAGTTAGTAATACAAGTTGAGCCACCAGCCCGTCAAAAAAAGCTGGCTCGGGTTGGTATTTTGCCAGCATGCCAAGATGCGGACTACTCCAACCCACATCATTTTTGGCTCGCACCACCGCGGGCTGGCCTGTATCCACATCGCCATCTTGTTTTACTAACTCTAATTAAAAGGTTTGTTTGGTTTGACATTTAAAATGATTGACAAGCATGTTTCATGTAAATCAAGATAAAACTCCTCCACATATTTACCTCATATTTCATAAATCACAATTAAAATACTATTTATAAGTCATTCCAAATATGTCCTAAGTAAAAGGTTATGAGTAGATTGGCTTTAGATAATTAATTAATTAATTATATCTCATAAAGGGGGTGAAGTATGATTGTATAGATGAAAGAGAATAAAACGAAATGTTTTAGATGCAACTCTAAATCACGGAAGAAATTTTTCAACATTTTCTTACTTTACTTTTCCATCTTTCCTCCATCATCTCACCATAACATGATAAATGTTTTTATAATAAATGTTGCATCATATATAAAGATGCAACAACTTAGAAGAAAACAAGAATAAAACAAAGATAAAATTGCATCTTTGGCCTTATAATTTTATATAAGATTTCAATTTAATTCTTTGATTTTATAAAGTGTTTTTTCAATTTTTTAAGGGAAAATTGCAAATAAAGACTCCCCAATATATAAAATGGCAATCAGGGACCCTGAATTTGAGAAATTGCTCACAAGGACCCGGTCCCAATTTGCAATTATAAAATCATGGCCAAATTACCAAAATACCCCTCTTTAAATTTTTTTTTTTTAAAAAGAACACCACTGCCTCGCCGGAATCCGGCTGCCGGCGCCGGAGCTCCGCCACCCCGGCTACCAGCCGCCGGAGCTCCGATGCCGGTGGCCTTCCTTTGTTTTTTTTTTGAAACTGTTTTTTTTTTTTAAATTGGGGGGAAGTGAAGTTGGGGACTTGGGGGGATTGATCCCCCAACCTAATGCTTCCCAAAATTAAGAATGACCATCGAGCCAACAAATTTTTGCTAACATTATGATACAAAAAAAAATATAAGTTAACTCATTTACTTTTGTTACAGGTGATAACAATAATACATTTGAAAATAATAAGTTCTAATTATAAAATAACAAGTCTGGGATTAAAATTTAACAACACGTTTTTTTTATAACAACACACTCTGTTTCAGGTGATAACAACAATACATTTGGAAATAACAAGTTCTTATTATAAATAATAAGTCTGGGATTAAAATTTAACAACACGTTTTTTTAATAACAACACACTCTGTTTCAGGTGATAACAACAATACATTTGGAAATAACAAGTTCTGATTATAAAATAACAAGTCTGGAATTAAAATTTAACAACACGTTTTTTTAATAACAACACACTCTGTTTCAGGTGATAACAACAATACATTTGGAAATAACAAGTTCTGATTATAAAATAACAAGTTCGGAATTAAAATTTAACAACACGTTTTTTTAGAAAATTATTTATATTATGATTTTGGAAAATAAATTATTTATAACTTATAAAAATATTTTTAATATATTTATTTTTTCTAAAAAATACTTTTTAATCTATATATCTATACAACTCATTATAAATCAAACTACTCCTTATAAATTATAAAGCATTTATAATTAAATATTTTTAATCTATAAATCATTGTATAAATTTTTATATTATTTCATTCTTTAAATATTAAAATTTATTATTAAGTATTTAAATAATATAGTATAATTTATTATTTCATTCTTTAAATATTAAAAATATTTTTTATATTTAAAGAATAAAATAGTATTTTTAATTATAAATTAGAGATAAATTTCATTTATAAATTTAAGCAATCAAAAAGTATTTTTAATCTACAATAAATTGTACTATTTATAATTTATAAGAAGTAGTTTGATTTATAATGAGTTGTATAGATATATAGATTAAAAATTTAAAAAAAAAATTAAAAAAGTGTGTTGTCATTTTCCCTAAATTTTATTTATAAATTTGAACAATAAAAAAGTATTTTTAATCTATAATAAATTACACTTCAAGTTCTGATTATAAATTGGAGATAAAAATTATTTTTTTAGCAAATTAAATAGATTAAAAATACTTTTTATAAGTTATAAATAATTTATTTTTCAAAAGTATAAAATAATTAATTGTTATAAAAAAACGTGTTGTTAAATTTTAATTCCAAATTTCTTATTTTATAATCAGAACTTGTTATTTTTAAATGTATTGTTGTTATCACTTGGAATAAAATGTGTTGTTATATAAAAAAAAAGGGTGCTGTTAAATTTTAATTCCAAACTAGTTATTTTATAATCAGAACTTGTTATTTTATAATAAGAACTTGTTATTTCTAAATGTATTGTTGTTATCACCTGAAACAGAGTGTGTTGTTATAAAAAAAATGTGTTGTTAAATTTTAATCCCAGACTTGTTATTTTATAATCAGAACTTGTTATTTTCAAATGTATTGTTGTTATCACCTGCAACAAGAGTAAATGAGTTAACTTTTTTTTTGGTATCATAATGTTAGCAAAAATTTGTTGGCTCGATGGTCATTCTTAATTTTGGAAAGCATTAGGTTGGGGGATCAAATCCCCCCAACCTCACTTCCCCTCAATTTAAAAAAAAAACAAAGGAAGGCCGCCAGCAATGGCCGGAATCCGGCCGCCAGCATCGGAGCTCCGGCGGCTGGCAGCCGGGGTGGCGGAGCTCCGGTGCCGGCGGCCGGATTCCGGCGAGGCAGTGGTGTTCTTTTTTTAAAAAAAATTTAAAAAGGGGTATTTTGGTAATTTGGCCATGATTTCATAATTGCAAATTGAGACCGGGTCCTTGTGAGCAATTTCTCAAATTCAAGGTCCCTGATTGACATTTTATATATTGGGGGTCTTTATTTGCAATTTTCCCATTTTTTAACCCTAATTGTTATTTTAATTGACATAAAATATTGATATTGCAATTTCAAATCTAGACAGTATCCTGGAAAGCTTGTCGGTGGGTCCAATTTCTTGTCTAAAATTTTGTGTAAAAAAAATTTTCAAGTATTGACATATTAAGTTTAATTTTTTTTAAAAAAATAAAAATCAATATCAAGCTGAAACATCTTCTAAAACTCGCAAGATTAGAAGCTTCCTCAATGTAAATATTTTCGTTTGAGTGATACATTTTCATCTTACCTATTACTCCTCCGATCCTTAATATGAGACCTATTTAACTAATTTGATTAGATTGAGAAAGTTAGGTAAGTTAGTTAATTATAAGGAATACGATACGTTTTTCTTAAAATATCATAATCATCTTTCTTAATACCCATTTCCTTCTTCTACTTGATTATGGTTGAGGAAGTATCCATAAAGGTAATTTAAAAAAAATGATAAATATAATAAATAGGTCTTATATTTAGAATGAAAACCAACTCAACAATTAAGTCCTATATACTTTTCTTTAAATACAGTCACCTCTCACAAACGTGAGATGTATTCAAAACTATATGTAAAACATCAATTGCAGTGTTTTGCAAACACCATGCTTCCCGAAGACAACTAGATTCCTTCCGTCATCTCTCTCTCTCTCTCTCTCTCTCTCTCTGAGACTAAGAAACACATCATGCTGCCTCACATGCGACAAAAACCCTTCTTCTTCTTCTTCTTCTTGTTGAGCTTCACAATCTGGTCATGGTGGACTCTGGATGGCGTCGTTTCAGACCCTCAGACGACTCTGGTGACGATAGGGTGCAGCCAAATCAACGTCAGCGACGTGTCCATCTTCCAAGGCAACCTAAACGCAACGTTTCAAAGCATGAGAACGCAGATCAGCAACCAGAGCGAACACTTCGCCACGGAGCAAGTAGTGAAGGGTAACAACCCCGCTTATGGCCTTTTTCAGTGCAGAAACTACCTCTCCATCGCCGACTGTCTCTCTTGCTTTGACTTCGCCGCCGATAAGATCCGACGCAACTGCTCCGCCGCCTCCAACGGTGCCCACATCACATACGACGGCTGCTTCCTCAGGTGCGGAGCCAACTTTGACTTTTCTTAAATCGCTGAATCTGACAGTATAATTTGCCACTATTTATTCAAGGTAGGACCACAACGCCTTTCAAAACCAGCAAGATACTAAATATAAGAGCTTGTTTGATATTCACTTTAATTATAAATATAAGATCCCAATCTACTTTATATCTCATATTTATCCCTTTTTTAAAAGTAATTCTTATAGTAATTGCACATGTTAAAGGTTCCATCAAATAGTAGTTCTAGTTAATACACATGATTAGCAAGAGTATTCTAATGAAGACAACACCTAATTATTACATATAACTAATTTTCAAAACTTTCTTAAATACAAATTAGTCAACTAATTATTATATCAAGGACAAGAGAAACTACATTATTTTGCTTCTTTCATCTCCACAAGAACTCTATCCAATGAGGGAAATGACAAATATGACCCACTTCGAATGCTGTCAACAGTGATTGGGTTGATAAGAGACTGATATCCCTTTAAATAATTTTTTGTCTGGGTTTTACTAGTAGAAAAAGAAATGCTAGAAGAGTAGCTCTTGAGTCAAATAATACCTGGAATTTGAATTGCATAATTAGTCGTTCGGGATATTAGTTGAGCACATACATATGTGACACAGAACACACATATTTTGGATGACTAGTTATGATGAAGTCTTTAATAATTACAAGCAGGCTTGCACCCTTTTTAGAATTCAAATTACCTAAAATTATGGTATTAAAACTCAACTTGTGTTGGCCAGTTGGACCAGTGAATCAGTCCCCTGGCCGATCTAGTCAAGAGTTTTGAATAGGTTGGGGGGTTGAATTTTAAGTATGTTTTTTATTTGCTAAGCTTGAAACGCCACTCTTTTGAGTTAATAATGCCTTTTCTATTTAAATATTACTCATTTATTGAGTTATACATAAATATTTTCTATATTTTAATTATACATATTATTTTAATAATTGGGTTGATTCCAATTTAATTACGGTTACACCATGGATTCTTGAACTAATAAGTTTTCAGTACCTTGCCTAAAATTAATTAGAAACCTAATTTCATGCATTTTACGCAGGTACGAGAGCAGTAGCTTCTTTGACCAGTCAACAGACGCAGGCAACAACATTAATTGTGGGAATGAAACAAGAAACTCAACTGAACTTGCTTCAACTGTGCAACAAGTTCTGAGGAATCTGGAAATAGCCACACCGAGAATCAATGGTTACTTTGCAGCCACCAAAACCACAGTACCTAACAGTAACGGCTCAAACATTTATGCCTTTGCTCAATGTGTTGAGACACTCACACAAAGTGGCTGCGACAATTGCTTGAACATTGCCTTAAGAAATTTTCAGATTTGCCTCCCAAACTCAAATGCTAAGACTTTCGATTTCGGGTGCTTCATGAGATACTCCACCACTTCCTTCTTTGCTGATAATCAAACCACTAACATCAATCACTTCTTGAAACAAGGTGGAATATTATAGTAAACTTGAAATGGCTTCATATATAGTTTGCATAGGCTTTCGGTAAAAACTTAGTGGGTCAACATTTTCCTTGTGATTTGTAGGAGATTCAAGCAAGAAGAAGGCCATTATTATTGGTGGAGTCGCTGGAGGAACATGTTTTATTTTGATTATGATAGCATTATTTGCTTTGTATATGCGATCAAAGTCATCGAAGATGGTTCCTAAAGGTAAGATAACCGAAAATGGTCTTTATCATCCAATTTGAAATGATTTAATGTGATTATCCTTGCATTATTTGCTCTGCATATGATTTTTTATTTGTTGTGAGAGATTTTTTACTTTAATTTTATCTTCCTCACAGGTGATATTTTGGGAGCGACTGAGTTAAAAGGCCCTGTTAATTATAGGTATAAAGATCTAAAGTCAGCGACAAAAAATTTCAGTGAAAAAAATAAACTAGGAGAACAAGCCTTTGGCGGCTTATACAAGGTAAACCTAATAAAACTTTTCTTTTAATTCCTACAGTTGATGTCATTTATCGAGAGACATTTGTTAGGCTTGTTGCGTTGAGGCATTTGCATAGATTTTCAGTCCACATAGCCGTGCTATTTTTTTTTTTTTTAGTGAACACACATAGGCTTGCTATTGTTTGTCACACACTATGCCAAGATTTCATTAGTTCTTTAATATTTTTCTCTTCTTATATGTGGATCGGGTTCATGAAAAAAGCAAAGGTTGATCTTTCACTAAAAGGGTATAGTTCATTTGAAAATTAATTTATTGTTAAATATCTGCACGTTCAATTCTAAATGAAGATATATAAAACTCTCTGTAAGCATGTTCTTCATTCTTAAGTATGGTGTCTTTGTTGAACAGGGTATTTTGAAAAATGGAAAGGTAGTTGCTATCAAGAAATTGCATTTAAGCCAATCCAAAGAGATGGAGAAAGATTTTGAGAGTGAAGTGAAGTTGATAAGTAATATTCATCATCGAAATATCGTTCGACTCCTGGGATGTTGCAATAAAGGCCAAGAGAGACTTCTTGTTTATGAGTACATGAAAAACAGCAATGTTGGCCAATTCTTATTTGGTACAAACAAAATTAATCAGTTAACTGAATATCTTCTATTGTTTTGAGAATCAGCTTTGGTTCTTCTATTCTTTTATCCTTATTTCTTACTCTCTAAAGTGATGAAAATAGGTGAGACTAAAGGTTCTCTGAGTTGGATGCAACGTTATGCAATAATTTTTGGCACTGCAAGAGGTTTGGCATATTTACATGAGGAATTCCATGTTTGTGTTATACATAGAGATATAAAAGCTAGCAACATCCTCTTGGATGATGATTTTCAACCTAAAATTGCTGATTTTGGACTAGCAAGGCTTCTTCCAAGAGACCAATCTCATCTTCACACAAATTTTGTTGGAACAATGTAAGTGAATGCACATACAATTTATGCTATTTATTTACTTTTATTAATATCACCTCAAAGACAATATATTATTAGAAGAAATCATGTGTTGATGATCAAATGAAACATTGTTATCACGCCTTTAGATTCTTTTCATTATGCAATCAGTGATATGTTTTTTTTTTTTTCAGGGGATATGTGGCACCTGAATATGCAATGCATGGGCAATTATCAGAAAAGGTTGATACTTATAGCTATGGTGTTGTAGTCTTAGAAATCATAAGTGGACAAAAAAGTAGTGCATTGAAGGTTGATGATGAAAGTGAATACCTCCTCCAAAGAGTAAGTAACTTCCTAGTAGTAAACATAACAATGGATTGCATTTCATTGAACAAATTTCCAGTGCTGGGTATAGTGTTCAAACAATTAACTTTTTTTTTTTCATTATATGATCACTTTGATCTCAGGCTTGGAAACTATATGAGAGAGGAATGCATATATCGTTTGTGGATAAAACCTTAGACCCAAATGAGTATGATGCGGAAGAAGTAAAGAAAATAATAGAAATTGGGCTGCTTTGCACACAAGCATCTCCTGCAGCAAGGCCAAGAATGTCTGAAATTGTTAGAATGCTCAAAAGAAAGAGCTTAATGGAGCACAAAGAGCCAACTATGCCTGTCTATGTTGATCCTACTTCTTGGCCCAAAAGAGACGCTTCTATGACTCACAGTTCATCTTCATCAAATGCTGTTATCTCTACTTCCATTTTATCAGGAAGGTGATTTACTTCACACGCATGATCGCACAATTGGCAATGCAAAAGTAAATAAAGTGTTGTTCTTCTTCTTCATTCCATTACGCAAGATTTGATTACAATGAAACGTCAACTTTACAGTTAGCAATGTTTGTATGCAATGATGGCCACTTGGCCTATGGTGCAAGATAAATAAGTGACTGTGGAAGCCTTTGAATTATGTGTACTCAAATTGGTAATCTTATTTACACTGAATATCTACACGTGGATAAATCATTCTACATTTTAGCTTTTGCTTCAACACTTCATGATATGATGCAGCTAGTAGGATAATATCAAGGAACAAAAAACTGAACTGGATACTGAATCGGTCCAAATACTAGTTCAAAGGTCAGTAGGTCAAATCATAGTCAAACCGATAATTAAAATAATATAATTTAATTAAAATAGATAAAAAAATATTCATATTTTAATTATAAAAAATAATATTTAATTTTTAAATGGGTAGTCGTGTTATGAATCATTTATATATAAGAAGTTTTTTTCTTTTTTTCCCTTTCTTTTCTTTTTTCCCCCTCACATAACCAGTGACCCAATAAAAATCTTTCCTTTTTCTTTTAGTTTTTTTACTGTTTCTTCTCTCTCCCATGTGACACAACTGAAAATTTTACTCTATAGGACGTGAAGCAGCTATGTTTAGATGAAACCAAATTATGGTTTGGAAAATAGCTTCTAGAGAATAGATTGTTGAGAGAATAAATTTTGTGAAAAAGTGAATCTGATAAAGTGAGAATGTTTGGATAGTTGTTATCAGAAGCACTTTTTATATATGCAAATTACTAAAAAAGGCATAAGTTAATATGATAATTACATAAAATATAGATTTTATAATATATTTTAATTTGAAGGAATAAAATTGTTAATAATATATTTTTTACCAACATAATTAATAATACATAAGATAATGTAATTAATAAATAATTAATATGTTTATATATATTTATAAGATATAAGATTAAATATGTTTGTAAAAAAATAATTGAAGAGTGTTAAAGTCGTATTGTTGTTGAGATCTATTCTGACAGGCACAATCATACTCTCCAATTTGAGTCAGAAGCAAAATGGATTCACTTCTCCTGAAACTATGGTTTTGAACTCCAAAACCATGGTTTGAGCCCAAACCATAGTTTCAGATTATTTCTCCCTGTTTGGCTCACTCTTTCCCCAAACTATGGTTTGCAATGATACCCAAACACCCCTTTTTCTTTTCTCTTTCTTTCTTCGACAATGAACAAGCAGAGGCAGTAGCAGATTATCTACTTGAACACACATCACCATCTCTTCGTTTGCATTAAATCAGTTTCTTTCTTCCATACTTTTCTATCTGTTATATTTCTCCTTGTCTTCTAATCCTCTACGAGCAAAACAACTTTGACGCTTCAAAGCGGTACCCAACAGATTTCCAAACAAAGTTTTGTCTTCCTCCCATGATCTCCTTTGCTTCTAGCACTTGTCTCTGTAGTGTTCATGGTTGCGGCAAACAGCGAGTCATTCCATCGCTTCTCGATGAACAGCAAGGACAAGAAGGAAATTAAAAAAGAAAAAAAAGGGCAACCCACCCAAGCTAGCGGTTTGTCCGGTTTATTCTGGTTCGTCTTGGGTTGTTCTGGGTTGATTAGGGGCAAGTTTTGAAGCTAAACTAGATCGGACCATAGGCTGATTGACCGATTGACTGATTTTTTTATTGAATTGCCAGATCCAATTTTTTTTTTTTAACCTTGGATGATATCTTCATTAACTACCGGCCGTTCCTAAAGATTATTCTACCTAACACTCACTAGTCAATATGAATAGCTTTATATGAATATACTACCTCCAGCTTGCAACATAAGAGCTAGCTGAAGATTTAATTTCCTCATAAATATATAAGACCCCAATCTATTTGATTTCCAATATTTATCCATTTTGTCTTCAATTAATCTTTATGGTGATTACAACATGTTAAGAAGCTTTCATTAAAGGTAGTTCCAATGCTCATAATAAGAGTATTTCAGAAAAAATAACATTCATTTATTACAAATAACTAACTTAACTAATTTTCTTAGTATTTACAAATTACTTATCTAATTCTTATATTAACGATAGGATGTAAAATATCATAGCTTAAAAGCATTATATCCCACATATACCGTACCATGTTGTATTTTATATGCTATCCATATAATCGGTCTCAGAATAACATTACTATCATGATCTTTTCGTTATATCATAGGTCATTGAAATCTCAAAATTCTTCAATAACTTTTCAAGATACAAGCATTCTTATATGTTAATGTTGAGCTTCACAGCAGAAGCCTCAAATATCAGAGTTCATATCTTGCCACGGGAAGATTAGAGAAAATTTCTAATTTACTAACTAATTGTTCAACAATCAATTTATATCAAGTGAAATCATATACATAAGATATAAAATATAATTGGTTTTATGAGTATACACGTATGCATATCAAAATTTAAATGCAATTATCAATACACATACACTTATGTAAGTTTGACATATAGTTACGCACAAGAATGGAATGAATTAAGGACAATCATTTCGAGACTTCTCCTTCTTTTATTTTTATTTTTTTCCCTTCCTTTTTTGAGTTCAAAACTTGAAGCCACACCTTCATATGTAGAGAAGGTACCAGAGGTTAAAAGCTAAGTGTCTTAGTTTCCATGCACCTTTAACCAATTTCAATCAAAATAGGCATAGTGGGTCTCATATCCTCTGATAAACCCTTTTGTTGGAGCAATGCAACTACTTCAGACATCTTTGGCCTTATATCTACAGATGCTTGTGTGCAAAGTAAACCAATCTCTATGATTTTCTTCACTTCTTCTGCATCATAATCATTAGCGTCTAAGGTCTCGTCCACCAGTTCTAAATGTATGCCTCTCTTGTATAAGTTCCAAGCCTGCCAAGTGAGATAAAAGTTAAAAGGATCAAGAAGCATAGAAAACATTTTAGAAAAAAAAGTCAGGCTAATTAATTTCTTTTAAACATGTATTACCAAATGTAATGCGCTAATTAGAAAAGAAAGGCCTCCCTGAAAAAAGTTAAGATGAGTTGTAAAAAGAGTCCTGCTTATGATTTTCTCAACAACAAAAAAATGCTGCTTTGAATAATCATGAGAACTTACTTTTTGAAGGAGGAATTCGCCTTCAGCAGCACCATTGGCATTCAATTCATTGTTTCTTTGACCACTAATAATTTCTAAAATTATAACACCATAGCTATATACATCAACCTTTTCTGATAGTTGTCCATGAATTGCATATTCTGGAGCTGTATATCCTCTGAAAAATAAATAATACTTTTCAGCTGCTAATAGATCATAACAATGACTCATCAAAAAACACAAACGCAAGTATTTGGAACAAAGAAAATGTGTAGGAAAAAAGAACCAGCGAAATCTAAAATAGACATGAATGTAGACACAGTGCACATTACTGCAAATTAAAATATATATATAACTACTACACTTATCTCCGTCGGGTTCACTAAGCTTCTTCCACATTGTCGGTAGTTGTAAGTTTTCCTCTCCTATATTACATTTCTGAGGTTGTGGGTAAATGGAACATTGCGGTTGGGGAATCATGTATAAAAGAACTTAGGATATAAGAACTGGGTTCCTTTCCCTTGATTTTATAATAGAATAACCAATTAATATATATTATCATTTCCTTGATGAATCCATGAACTTCAATAGAACTTAAGAAAATCACATAAATGAAGTTATTTCAACTTACAATGTTCCCGCAAATCTTGTGTTAAGATGAGTCTTGTCCTCAGGTAAGAGTCTTGCTAAGCCAAAATCAGCAATTTTAGGTTGTAAATCATCATCCAAGAGGATGTTGTTAGTCTTTATGTCTCTATGTATGATACGAACATGAAATTCTTCATGTAAATAAACCAAACCTCTTGCTGTTCCTAAAATTATATCGTATCGTTGCTTCCAATTAAGAGAACCTTTATTTTTTCCTAGCAGAGAAAGAAAGAAAAGGTCAAACATCAAAGTGATCTATTCACAAAATCTTTCAGTAGGAAATTTACCCACACAACATATTGATTAAGTTCTTGAATAAAGTTATGACACATGAATCCATTTTTGTTAATAGAGGAATCAATGATGATTTGTTACGCTGTTAATTTGAAAATATCCTATATACCATAATGCTATTAAGAAATATAATAGCAATTGCATGAGTAACAATATAAGCTCTGTTGGTTAATAGGAGATACCAAATAAAAATCTGTCAAGACTGGTCTTTTTCATGTATTCATAGACCAGAATTCTCTGATTGCCTTTACTGCAACATCCAAGCAGCCGGACAAGATTCCGATGATGAACGTTACTTATAAGTTTCACTTCACTCTCAAACTCTTCTTCTACCCTCTTCGATTGTCGTAAAGTTAATTTCTTCACTGCAACTACTTTTCCATTCTTCAAAGTGCCCTGTTTATGATGATTAAGAGGTGTTATATTAGAGGTTATATACCTCTGTCCTTTCAAAAAAACATAATCTTTTACAACACTACGTAAAACTCAATTAGAAGAGACATGCTTGTACGTTTTGGAACATGATCTATATCAAAATATTGATGAAAATCAAAATATATAGTTACCTTATATACTGCACCAAATCCACCTTCTCCAAGTTTATTTTCAATGCTGAAATTTTTCGTTGCAGACTTCAAATCTCCATAATTGTAATTAACCTGGGCTTTCAACACGCTAATCAATATATCTTTTAATACTATTCCACTCAAGCCACGGCTCAAACGGCTTACTTTGCAGCTCCAGACTCATTTTACTGTTCATAAGAGATATCTGGCTTAATAATGATTTTATTGGGCTTTGTGTCATATGGCTCACAACAAATGGCTTCGTGTAGATCATATTTTGAATTTTGAATCCCCCGCCTCATTTCTCAGGCTTACTTTGATCTCTTTTTCCAGCTTTCCCCACAAACGTTTCTCCCTCTACCGCCTGCTCTCCGGCTCCTTCATCTTCTTCAGTGTCCTTCATTCTTTTCCCTCGTCTTCTACGCTATATGAGTGGGTATGTTTGAATCTACTCCTTTCTTTTGCTGGAACTCCCTATAATGTCATAGCTTCTTCCTATACCCTTGTGTGTGGTGTGATGTTTGGCTGGTGCTACATTTTTTTTTCCCCATCTTCATAGCCTTCTTCGTTTGCAGATCACTGCAGCTGGAACGGAGCAAAGAGAGGAAGGACTTGCACAAACATTCTTCCTTTTGCCATTATCACTGCAAAAGTAAGCTCATTGGTCAACTGCTCATTTATTCATCCCACCCTTCATCTCCTACACTACATATGTGGGTGGCGCCGAATCTTTTTATATCTTCTGCTGAAAGAAAGGGATTCATAATCGGTATTACATTTATATAATGCATTAAACATATGTCCATGGCGAGCAAGTCGATATGCATGAGCGTAGTTGGGATATAAAGCCGTTTGATGACTTCGCATGGGGTATACCTAAAGATGAGAATGTAGTTGAGCTATTTACTTTATCAGTCATATTTTGTCCGTTCATTTTTTCCTGCAGTACCTTGTGACCAAAATCTCATTAAAATGGCTGCAGACGTTTGCGGAATCCTTTAGCAGTTTTCCAATCGGTGAAATTGGGTTATGGAGGGGCAAACTTAGTGAAGGAGATGAAGGAGCCGGAGAGATCTGCAGTTAACAACGGAGTCTTTATGCCCTTTTTTTTTTGCCTAATTACTCCCATGTATAGAACTTGAGGGGATCTTTGTAGTTCTTCAGCATGCCGTCGCATATGTTTTTCATTTATTTAGATATGCCTATGATATGGTGTGTCAATAATGTTTAGCAGATACGTTTTGGTGTTCACATAATGAAATTGTGAATTGTGAATGTGACTTAGCATTAAATTACCATATTAGCTAATTATATATTATTTAATTATTCAATTAAATATTCAAATATTTATCCACAGAATTATTTGATACTTATTTCCTTCCTTCATCCATCAATATATTGTCTCTAATTTAAACAGTAAATCGCTTTAAGTAAATCAAACTGCATGTATGTAGCTTTATATTTGGGTTTCAAATGTAATATAAATGAAGCTATTTGGGCTATAAGCTAATATTATGAACGCGGACTGAAAGGGGAAAGCAATTGAGAATTATATTATAGAAGCTAAAACACACAATACGAGATATAAAAGATCATGGAAAAATTTTAAAAACCTAAACATGACAGGGTGAAAAGATGATGAAAAGGCCCATGAAGTGATTATAAATGTTACCATTCACCTTATATTTCTATTTGTTCTACAAGGACATTAATTATGCTTTTCCACCTCTCATCCATGTCATCGTCATGCCACTCGAAAAAGTCACATGCTTCGTGGTCTTGTGCTCTTAGTGTCTTCCATAGTCGACTCGAGGTTTCATATGGAAATCTGTGTAGGCAAGTGAGTTATTTATAAGTTCATATCCTACATATCTCGTGAGTTATTACAATTGTCATTGCTTCATTATATTGGACAATAAATGAAGTTATGTATTCATTATTCATTAGTAGTTATCTTATGGTTGCTGTTGGCTGAACAACTTTGGCATTACGCAGTATAAACACACAAAGCATTTCTAGAACATAAGTAATATTTCGATAACAACACAACTGGCTTCAACAGAACTACACCGTGGATGTAAATAAAGCATTTATAGAACATAAGTAGTGTTTCCATAGAGCTGTAGACATCACCACCTACAATGAAAACACAATTTATGCCAGGACGACTCAACACTAAGGAACAATACTTAAGGACGATAAGGATTACCAACTAGCTTAAACAAAACTACGAGCTACAAACAACACACCACACAAAGCTAATAATAGTCTATATGAGTTGAAGACAGAAAGATAATTCATAACGTGGTAAACTCTAATAACACAAGAACGACATCATGCTTCATTATCCCCATCGACGAAGCCTAACTCTGTACCCATTTCTGCAGGCGGCGGTAGGTTAAGGTCAAAGTCATGTGCAGCGATAACAACCAACTCAGTTTCTGCATTATCTAAGTTGTTTTGGTTGTTAGTCGTCACTGCTCTGTGATTAGTCCTTCTGATAGATCTCCTTCGAACTGGAAACACCTTCATGTAGACATGGGACCACAAGTCATGGATGATGAGCGGTTCATTGATTGATGTAGGGAATGTTGCTGTCACGTATGGTGTGAAATGTCGGAGGAAATTCAGGTAGTTTGTGTAGTCCAAATAGTTGTACGTGTTTGCAATGTCCCAACTCTGGCAGCTGAATCCTTGATCACGTATGTAGGCATATATCTTCCTCAGAAAGAGATAACGCAATCCATACCAATTTGAAGAACCAACTCGTGTTTCTCCTCTTTCTAGGGTGTAATACTGCAGGCGCATGGATACAGCATCAGTTGTTGTGTATACAGTCAGTGGTCCACTACGGATTCGGATGTATTCCACTCCAACAGATTTCCATTGGACCATCAAGTCTCTCACGGCCACCATATTTATTTCCTCTACAATACTCATGTTGATTCTCTTCAAGTAGTGAAAGAAGGGAATATGGTAAGATCGGTAAGGGTAGACTGCCTTATATGCAAGTTTGATATGCTGGAGCTTACGTCTGTTGATGGAACGGTATCTTCAACCATGAATTTATTGTTTTAATTTTAATAATAAAAAATAGAATATTTAATTAAAGCTTTCCTCGATTTTAGTATTCTCAAATATGAAATTTGAAAATTTTAATTGAAATTAAAAAACTGATACATGACAGATGCAAGTCCTTTTAACTGATATGAGTTGTTATTTGATTATAGTACAGTATGATTTGACTTACCAATGCACATAAACCAGGCCCTGCCTTATTAGTATGTTGATGATAATCTCTGGTGAATGGTGACCTTCCTTTATATACTGGTGATCTTATCTATTTATATTATGAAAAACCATATAAGCCTGCATTATTACATATAACATATGTCGTTTTGAGCTTTAATATTTCCAAGTAATTTTATAAAAGTTACAGCATTTACCATTATCAAGCGTTTATGTTTCCAATTATTATATGCTTTGAAACATGGTAAGAAAAAATCTCATCAATTCATTTCAATGAAGAAGTATCAGGTGCAACGGATAATAATAGTCTAGGGGTCGATACAAGCTTATGTAGTAGTATTTTTAGTTGTGGAACTTAGGTAGCGGTACATGTGGTCTGAGTGGTATGATATATGGATCATGCGTGCATTTATTGACTTTGTCATGGGGGCAAAAAGAACTTATGTTTAAACCTGAATTAGTTGCAGTCTTCTGCAGGTTAGTTTTTTTTTTCCTGTAGCAATTTGCTGTATTCTAGGTCCTTTTTCCTTAGAATGTTACTTACATTAAATGCCTTATTACTTGAAAACTGCCAGTTTCTTAATTTGGGAACTAATGGCTATGGCTATTTGTAGGAGTCAGCTTCACAATAGGGTTGCAGCATACCTACAAACTATTATTTGTCTATATTTCATTTATTTATTCAGACTCATTTAATGTATGATTGAAGGAGATAATTTTTGTGTGTGATAAAAGCTGATTTGTCTACTTTTTGTGGATTTCAAAGTACTGTATTATCTTAGGAGTAAATAACATGTGACACAAACATTAAATGAATTATCAGTCTGTAGTTTCAGATGCTTTAACCATGGTTATGGCATGGAGAGCATGGATATGGACGGTTCATGTATGGGTCATTGATGTGTTTCCAAATTACTAGATGCTCTGAAAGATGGTAAATCTGAAACTAAATTTAATCAACTTTAATTTTATGTAAGAAAATACCTCATTGGTTACAAGCCAAACAATATTACCCAATTATAATAAAATATCTCATGCATTTTAAAGTAATAGTGTAATTATCTACACAAGCCTAGGTAGTAATATTTTGAGTTATGGAATTTGTAGCAACGCATGTGGTGTGAGTGGTAGAATGCATGGACAATGCGTGCATTTATTGACTTTGGGAGGCGGCAAAATGAACTTATGGTTGTACTTGGAGCAGTTGCAGTCTTCTGCGATCTGCATGCTAGGCTTCTTTTTTTTTGTCCTTTAGTTAATTGTCGTATTCTAGAATTTCCCTTGCTGAGAATGTTATTTACATTAAATGCATTATTACTTGAAAATTGCCAGTTTCTTAATTTGGGAAGCTATAACTATGACTTTTTGTAGGTGTCGGCTTCACATTTGGGTTGCATCGTATCTACAAACTACGAGCTGTCTGGATTAAATTTATTTATTCAGGTTCATTTAATGTGTGCTTGGAAGAGACAACTTCATTTAATGTGTGCTTGTCTGGATTTCAAAGTACTGCAGTATCTTATGAATAAAAAATAGTCACAAGGCTGTTTGTAATAAATGCTATACAAGATGGTTAAACTCATGTGATATGCAACATAACCATCAAATGAATTTTTACTCTGTAGTTTCAAATGCTTTAACCATGGTGATGGCACAGGGATCATGGATATATAATATTTATGTGAGAGTCATAGTGCGTGAGATGGATATGAGATTGGAATAAATGATGAGATTGAGACGAATCAGATGTTCACCATTAGGTATTGCTGGTAAATAGGTTTTCACTCTGTTTTCATTTGAAACACTCATATGTGATGATATGTGTCCTATCTCTTATCATACTCAGGATGCCCGTAAACCTCAAA